ATTGAGTTTCAGTTTGAGTTGTGATAGTTTGAACTCTTCCTTCTTCTCTTCAGCAGTTCCTGATGTGTTTTTATTTGTGGACACATTTCTTCTAATTTATGTCTGTATGTCTGTAAATATATATGGGAGAGAGAAAAAGAGTTTTAATATGAAAAAAGAATTAAAATTTAGAAATTTTAGAGAAAAATAATTTTAATATGAGAAAGATTTAAAATTAAAAAAAATTGAATTTATTTTAGTTTTGATTAGTTTCATAGTTTCGCGTTATCAAAATCAGAGTTTTCGAAACAAATTATTTTTGCAACTTTAGGTAAGATGATAATTCGTAATTTATTTCATAATTTCTCGTTATTTATATAAAATATAATGTAAACTAATATTTTTTTTATGAAGAAACATAATTTTAAAATGGGTTTCAATGTTTTTTTTTATTATGAAGCATGTTTTATAAATATTTTTTAATGAAAAATTTGACTTTAAAATAGAAAGGAAAAAAATAATGAAAAAAAAGAAGTTGAAATAGAGTCTAAGAAATGACAAAAAAATTCGATGCTTTAAGTGGTGAAGCGAAGGCAACAAAACCCTTGTTGGATGGCACTTTCAAGTCATGGATAGCAGTCTAAACCCGTAACTGGCTCGACACCGTAAACTTTTGACTATGAGTTTCATAAACCCATGGGAGGTGGGTTCTGGTCAAGTCATACTTATATTAGTGAGACAAATGTCATTTATATCCCTGAATTAAATAAACATGAGTATGAATTAGATTAATCAATGAATAATATAATTATTTATAAAATAAATATATAATGATAATAGTGATATATTCGTAGTTCTCGCATATATATAGGTTATATAATAAATACGGATATGAATTAAATTCCTCAATGAATCTTATCCTATAAAAATAAAAGTGGGAATTGGATTTAAATAAGTTTGGAAAAAACAAATTCAATCCAATTCCTCCTCCAAAGATCATCCAAACAAGCCACAAAACAACAGGAACATAGGATTGGCTGTACCAGCTGAAGGGAAGGGTAGAGCTCACATGGGTTCTGGGAGGAAACCATACACAACCCCCCAAAACTGAAACTGCCCACACGAATCCACACACAACCACACGAATCACAGGAAAAAGGCAAATGAAGGTGACGACGGACAGGGTGACGTGAATGAAGAGTATTTTGAATTTAAAAATTGATAATTTTTTGAGTTAAATTATATTAAGAGATACATAAATTATTTCGAACACTCTTAGCTATTAAACGAAAAAAAAACTCTTGAAACATTTTATAAAGAGAAATGTTATGTTCTACTAATTTTTTTTATTAAATATTTGATTTGTTTAGACCAAGATTCGAAATGAGTTGATACATTAGTAACAATTGGATATTAGTGAGAGTTTGTGAGACCTTTTGATCTTACAATTTACATTGATTTGGGGCACATGCCCACTCTGGATTTTTTTTAAAAAAAATCATAACTTACATATATTTTAAATAATTTTTGGTTTATTTTATGGTGTCCACCTCATATATTTTGCATTCATCCTATCAATGTTTTGTCCTATCAAGTATTATAGACACATGCCTAATTAATTATAAATTTTTGAACACATTTTACAGATACGTTTAGACCAATGTTTCGCATGTCGACAGCTATTTTTTTAAGGTACGAAAAGTGTGAGTACTAAGTTGCGCAATCGAAATAGTGATTTGATTATTTATATAAAAAAAATTTTCATAACATTCATAATGAAATTATTATATAATGATTTGAAAAATATGAAAATTTATTGAAATAAATTTAATTAATTTATTTAATTGTGTCAATTGAGTCCTTTAGCTTGCCTTCGTTAGATTTTTAATAGAAAAGTGACGACAGGTGTAACTCACATAACACAAGTAATTGCAGCCTGGTCACATGAGTGACAAATTCAACAACTTTATTTTAAAAAACTTAATGAAGGCAAGCAAAAAGATTCAAGTAACAATTAAGAATTTTGAAACTCAATTAACAAAAAAAATAAAATTTGAAGAATTTAATTGACACAAGAACCATAGTTTGAGGGTAATGATTCATATGTGTACTTTACTCTAAATTTAAGTTTAAAAAATATTTACATAAAAATGATAAATTAAAAAAACTAAATTATGAAGCACGATGAGAATAGAAATAAAATTTAATTTATCACTTTCATATATATTAAAAAAAAAGAGAATTACACAAACTTCCTAAAATTTGTCACTTAATCACTTAAATTTCTTGACATTTGAAATATAACATACTGATCCCTCTAAGGTTGTGCGTGTGTAACACCTAGACTCTTACTGTCAATGTCCAATAGTAAATTACATTCAACTCACCTAAAATTTGTAAGCATATAATATTTAGACCCTTCAAGTTTAAAATATTATATTTAAAGCACAAAAACTTCAATCAAATATAGAATATCAAAATATTTTAAATTTTATAATCAAAATTCATATTTTATTGTATCATTTATTAAAATCAATTAAAAATAAAAATTTTTTTTCTTAAAAAATTGTAATTAGCATACAAATTATACTATCTATTGAAATAAAAAAAATCAAATAAGAGGTCTAAGTTATTCAACTAAAATTCATGTTCGATTATATCATTCATTAAAATAAAATAAAAAATAAAAATCTAATTTTTTTCTTAAAAAATCATAATTAGTATACTATCTATTGAAATAAATTGTAATAGACACAATATCTTCTAACTGTAATTAGGATAATTTAAACTAAATTAAATTCTAATAGATAGTATAATTATATACTAATTATGATTTTTTAAAGAAAAAATTAAGTTTTTATTTTTGATTTTATTTCAATAAATATCATAATAGAATATAAATTTTGATTGTAAAATTAAAAATATTTGATATTTTGTATTTGATTGAAATATTTTTTTATTTAAGTATAACATTTTAAACTTGAAGGATCTAAGTATTATACGCTTAAAAACTTCAGAGGGTTTGAGTGTAATTTACTAACGGATATACTAACAGACATTGATGATAGGAGTCTAAGTGTTATACGCGTACAAACCTCAAAGAGTCTGTGTGTAATATTTCAAATGTTAGAGGGTTTGAGGGATTAAGTGGTAAATCTCAGGAGATTTAGATGTATTTTTTTTTCTAAAAAAAAAAAGGAAAATATATATTTTCTTAAATTAATTATGTAATTGATTGGATATTCAAATTAAATCATAAATTAAGTTGAACTAACATTTTTGTAAATTTNAAAGAGAATTACACAAACTTCCTAAAATTTGTCACTTAATCACTTAAATTTCTTGACATTTGAAATATAACATACTGATCCCTCTAAGGTTGTGCGTGTGTAACACCTAGACTCTTACTGTCAATGTCCAATAGTAAATTACATTCAACTCACCTAAAATTTGTAAGCATATAATATTTAGACCCTTCAAGTTTAAAATATTATATTTAAAGCACAAAAACTTCAATCAAATATAGAATATCAAAATATTTTAAATTTTATAATCAAAATTCATATTTTATTGTATCATTTATTAAAATCAATTAAAAATAAAAATTTTTTTTCTTAAAAAATTGTAATTAGCATACAAATTATACTATCTATTGAAATAAAAAAAATCAAATAAGAGGTCTAAGTTATTCAACTAAAATTCATGTTCGATTATATCATTCATTAAAATAAAATAAAAAATAAAAATCTAATTTTTTTCTTAAAAAATCATAATTAGTATACTATCTATTGAAATAAATTGTAATAGACACAATATCTTCTAACTGTAATTAGGATAATTTAAACTAAATTAAATTCTAATAGATAGTATAATTATATACTAATTATGATTTTTTAAAGAAAAAATTAAGTTTTTATTTTTGATTTTATTTCAATAAATATCATAATAGAATATAAATTTTGATTGTAAAATTAAAAATATTTGATATTTTGTATTTGATTGAAATATTTTTTTATTTAAGTATAACATTTTAAACTTGAAGGATCTAAGTATTATACGCTTAAAAACTTCAGAGGGTTTGAGTGTAATTTACTAACGGATATACTAACAGACATTGATGATAGGAGTCTAAGTGTTATACGCGTACAAACCTCAAAGAGTCTGTGTGTAATATTTCAAATGTTAGAGGGTTTGAGGGATTAAGTGGTAAATCTCAGGAGATTTAGATGTATTTTTTTTTCTAAAAAAAAAAAGGAAAATATATATTTTCTTAAATTAATTATGTAATTGATTGGATATTCAAATTAAATCATAAATTAAGTTGAACTAACATTTTTGTAAATTTTAATAAACAAAAAAAAGAAAAAAGGGAGGACAAAACATTTCCCAATAATTTCACCGCACTTTCACGTGACCCCTGACCCTTAGTTCATTAGCAACACTGACCTCCCTCCTTTCTCTTTCTACCTCTCTCGAAAACCAATGTCTAACAGTCTCAGACTTCCGGCGAATTCAAAACACAGCCAATGAAACTCAAACCACAACAATAACACTTCGCCGGAAAACCTCACTCACTTCCCCACTTTCATCTCTAAGAATGCCATCAACAATCAAACTCCTCTTCCTTCTCTTCTTCTCTCTGTCACCTACAACCACCACTTCCATCTCTGCCGCCGCGTCGCCCCCACCTCCAGTGAACCTACTTCTTCCCTCCGACGCTGTCGCTCTTCTCTCATTCAAATTGAAAGCCGACTTGGACAACAAGCTTCTCTACAGACTCAACGAGCGATTCGACTACTGTTCATGGCAAGGCGTGAAATGCGTCCAAGGCCGAGTCGTCCGTTTCGTCCTCCAAAGCTTTGGCCTCCATGGCACGCTTTCCGGCGACGGTTTGACTAAGCTTGACCAGCTCCGAGCACTTATTCTAAGGAACAACTCACTCACCGGTCCGATTCCCGACTTTTCCTCACTCGTCAACCTCAAAACCCTCTTTCTAGACCACAACTCCTTTTCTGAAACTTTCCCTCCCTCTCTTCTTTTTCTTCACCGTCTCCGAACCCTTGATCTCTCTCACAACGACCTCACTGGTGTGCTTCCTGTAAACCTAACCGTTTTGGACCGGCTCAATTATCTCCGGCTCGACTCGAACCGGTTCAACGGCACAATGCCTGCTCTCAACCAGTCTTCACTGGAAGTCTTCAACGTGTCGAACAACAACCTGACCGGAGCAATACCAGTTACGCCCGCTCTGTCGCAAGTCGGCATCTCTTCGTTTTCTTATAACCCTAACCTCTGCGGTGAGATTATCCACAAGCCGTGCCGTACTTCGCCTTTCTTCGAATCTCCGTCAAGTGCTGCGTCACCTCCCGGACAGCTTAATGAAAATGCGCAGTCACAAAGTGCAGTTGTTTCTTGTCCGACGTCAAGAATTCACAAGAGAATCGGTGTAATTCTAGGGCTAGTTATCGGAGTTCTACTCCTAATTGCCGCAATTCTTAGCCTTTCTGCGTTGTTCAAGAAGCGAAGGGATCTAGTTCACTCAAAATCAACAACCCACGACGACGCCGAAGCTGTAGATAGCAGTGCTACAGAAACAACTACAATGCAATTTGTGAGAACGGAGGTAGAAGTTAAAGAGAAACAGTTGCAATTAGTACCTCAACGACAAGAGAAGAGTGCGAATTTGGTGTTTTGTGTAGGTGAGGCAGAATTGTATACACTGGAGCAGCTAATGAGGGCTTCGGCAGAGTTGCTTGGAAGAGGTACGATTGGGACTACATATAAGGCGGTGATGGATAATCACTTGGTTGTGTCTGTGAAAAGGCTTGATGCTGGTAAGACTGCGATTACAAGCGGAGAAATGTTTGAAAGGCACATGGAAGCGGTTGGGGCGCTTCGGCATCCAAATTTGGTGCCGGTTAGGGCTTATTTTCAGGCCAAACAAGAGCGATTGATTATCTACGATTATCAGCCTAATGGTAGTCTCTTCAATCTCGTCCATGGTGAGCTCTTCGCTCTGTAGTTATCAATTTGCATTTTCTTTGCTGTTCATTTTAGCTCACTGATCCACCTCCGAGCCAAACCCCCTTTTCTTTTTCAAGGTTATTGGGATTAGGGTATTCCCAAACCCAAACTCTTTTGACTCGGAATAATAATAGTAAGATAATATATCCATTTTTGGGATTCAAATAATTTCTAAAATACTTTCACAAAATGATAAAGCATTAAAAGACTTGTGCGACCCACTATTTATAAGTAGACCCTTACAGGGAAATTGAAATTGATTGAAAATGTAATGAAGATGATTTGGATCCAATGTTTTGCACAGTGGATGGATTATGCTGATAGTGGCTGCAACAACTTTTGTAGTTGTGTTGTTGTGGCCCTGTGTATCATCTATTAATGCTGTAGAGACTTTTTGCTTTTGATGGGTTCCACTTTCACATTGCCGACAATGTGGGTGCGGACTGGAATGCATATTGAGTCAAATATGCTATAAGTTGGCGCCATCACAATAGCATGGTTTGCTGTAGAAATCTTTAATGGTACTACACCATGTCGCGGCTACTTAGAGTGAGGTTGTTATGTTGGTTGTTAATAAAGGAGCATTGATTTGTATTGTATTTTAAGAAAGATCCCTGCCACCTAATTATACATGTATATTCCTTTAAGCATTTTAGTTTGTTTATTTTTGTCATTCTCCAACTAAGTTGCTGGCGATATAAATCATTCATTTGCTTGGATCCAGATCTCTTTAAATACTTTATTTTTTATGTTTTCTTTCTTGGAATATCATTTATCATGTGTTAGTGAATGACCCACTTATGTACAATACCCCTCTTAAATTTACTAAGTGATCAACCAAGGAGAAAAATAAAGGACATCTCACTACCATTTATTATTGGTGTTGAGTGTTGCTTTATCATTGCCCATAGAATGATGAGTCAGTGAACTTGTTACCTCTGCAGTCTGCACTGTTGGCTTTGGGCTTTAAAGGCATCGTGTTGATTTAATAGTGGATGACGACTTTGCATGTAAATTCGGATTTTGTGGAAATTACCACTTAGCAATTCCATGATCAATGCATATTTGTGCACTGTTTTTATTTTCAATTGTTTGCTTAGGTTCTATGTAGTTCGCACTCTCATCCCTTATCTTGACATGAGCATCAATGCATTACTGCTGGTTACGAATTGATGCTACTGTTGTAATTGTTAAGTCTTCCCTTTTATCTCGTTTGAGTTGATGTTCATCGGGAAAAACAAATTCTGGTGTGCCATGGTGCTTTACGAAATTCTTACATTCGTTTTCTGATTTGAACTTCCTTCAAAAGAATATGCTCCCTAGTCCAAAAATCAGGTTCAGAGAAATGGGGAAATATATCTGGGAAAAGTTGATTGCTTCACCGTTTTGTCTTTCTCTTCATTTTGCCATGTATTGCTGCTCATTACTGATACGAAATTGCAAACATGACAGGTTCAAGATCAACAAGGGCAAAACCTCTTCATTGGACATCATGCTTGAAGATAGCGGAAGATGTGGCCCTAGGCCTTGCCTACATCCACCAAGCATCAAGAGTTGTCCATGGCAACCTGAAATCCACCAATGTACTTCTTGGTCCCGACTTTGAGGCGTGTCTAACAGACTATTGCCTTGCCATCCTTGCAGACTCTTCCTTAACTGATGACCCTGATTCAGCAGGCCGCTATAAAGCCCCTGAGATACGCAAGTCCAACCACCGGGCGACCCCCAAGTCTGACGTCTATGCCTTTGGCATTCTCTTGTTAGAGCTTTTGACGGGTAAACCTCCATCACAACATCCATTCCTTGAGCCAACTGATATGCCAGATTGGGTCAGAGCAATGAGACCCGATGATGGCGAGGAAGACAACTGCCTCAAATTGCTTGTTGAGGTAGCTGGTATTTGTAGTTTGACCTCACCGGAACAGAGGCCAGCAATGTGGCAAGTCTTGAAGATGATACAGGAGATAAAAGAGAGTGCAATGATAGAGGACAGCGTAAGGGATTCATATAATAAATGCTCATAGCTCTTTGTTCTGCATTTACCACTATTAGCTGCAATCAGGAGCAATCAAGGAGTAAATGTCAATCGTACGTCCGTGTGCCCGATGAACTGCAGAGGAAAACTTCTGTGGAGGCTAAAGCTTGAACTATTGGATTTAATTTAAGCCTTTTTCATGAAGATTCGAAGTTGGTGCTGTTCATCGGTGGCAAGGAAGCTAAGCATTCAATAAATTCCTCTCCAAGTAGTCAGGGTAAGTGTGGGGCGTCATCTAAAACTATCATATCAAGGTTAGACACATCTACACTCCAATGCAACATTAAGCCAGGGGTCCATCAAATTGTTCGGGCTCATTCACGTAGTGTGCTTGTGAATGTTTGGAATTAGCTTACGTTTTGATGAACTTCAAACATGTCCAAAATCTGGATTCAGCTTGGCATGTTAAATGAAATGAGTTCCTAATTTAACAACCTCTATTAAGATGAATGTTGTTTATAATGTTGTACGTCTAGCATATTACATACGAAACATTATATATGTGTGTTTTTGTTCACGAGCATAATGAACTAAACAAACAAATGTTTGAAATCATAGTAGATTCTGAGCTGCTCATGAAGGGTTCATTTTTCATCCCTCGGTTAAACTCCTTTCGTCTTCATTATCCTCTTGATCCTGGGAGAGTGATAAAAGGAAATAATAGCACTTAAAAAGACGTATCCAGTGCAGAAAATTATTGTCATTGTGGGATCTGGAAAAAGTTAAATGTACGCAATCTTATTCCTACAAACAAAGAGATTGTTTTTACGATTCGAATCCGTGGCCTCGCCCAACCTCGCTGTGAAACTAACTGGATGTTACTTCCTTGGGGTGGGGTGGGACTTGGCAATAATGTTGGAATCCATTCAGTTGAAAAATGAATAATATAAAAAAAGCATAAAAAAAAAAAGAAGAAAGAATAAAGAAATTGCAGCACCTCTCATTTTATTGCGAGCATAAAACAAAATTAAAATTTAAAATCGACGTATATTATTACAAGTGGACAAACGATAGATAAGTTTTGCCAACCTGGATGAAATGACCATGCAATTGCAGAGCATGCTTTATAATCAAACCCAGGGAGAAGCATACCCTCACTTTCGGCTCACCTTTTTCCAACACCTCACTTCCGCTGTAAAAGTGTAAGTAGTGGAAAAATTCGCAGGCTAGCATATCAGATGAATCATATCTTCTTTTACCTTGTGCAGCAAACTTGGATCAGCCACCAAATGTGGCGTTTTCCTCAGCAATTTTTGTAAGCTTGGCCTTGAGCAAAATATACTACGAGTTAAAAAACTTACGAAGTCAAATCTCCTACATTTGAAAGTTGATTTTGCAGCTTCATAAAGTTCACAATCAAGGACAACGATTACCTGCAATTATTTGTTCTCCCTCCGAATTCTGTCCCCAGTAGTGTAGCAGTCAAGATCTATATACAGCGAACAAGGCTCGTGACTATGATGAGCCTATCATATCATCTGCCATTGCCTGCATACAAGGTCTTGACTGCATGATTCTCTCATCACTGTGTTTGATCCATTCTGAAAGTTTCCATGGTTTTTGCCATTTCCACTTAAATTGCAACAGCCACCAATAACTTCTCCTCCACCTCCAGAGTTTTCCACGTTGTCCGATAATAGCCAGTTTCTTGATTGACAATTGCCCAGTTGGTATCTTCTGCACAAACCACCATCTCTATTTATTAATTAAGCAGAAAATTAATGATCTCAAGACAGCATGAAGGAGAATGACCTTCTGTGTTTGATCTAGAAGTGTAGCTGATTCTCTAACTGAACCGTTAGCAATCCCTTCTGTATATTTGAGTTGCTTTGGTGCTGGCAGAGACCTTGGAGATGAGAGACTACTTGTGTCATCCATAAAATATTTCAAGGAACTTGGTGATTTCCCCTGTCATGGCCATAAAGACAAGTGTCAAGAAGGAAAAAGTGAAAATGGAGCAAGTTAGAACCACCAGTTGAGTTCCACAGTGAATTCATGGAGCCCAAGAGAAGATGTTCCGAATGCAACTTTCCCTTCGTATAACAATATAAAAGACAGAATGTAGTCTTCCGATTTCAACATATCAAAAATCAATGAGTATAACATGATTACTGTGCAACCATTGATTAAAACAACGGACAGTTGAGCATATAATCTCACCGAAGATAACATGGCCATGGCAACTGCAACAACTTGCTCCATGTGTTTTTGCTCCTTCACAATTTCTTTTTTATGTATTTCTCTTTGTCCCAGTAAATTTACTAGCTCATTCAATTGCTCTTTCATCTCCTTGATCTGCACTTCTTTTTCCCACAATCGGCACCTACTGACTCCAAAGGCACAGACAGTGTTAACAGACTGCACGGAATCCTAGATATATAGAACACCAACGAAAACACCAAACTGTCTATTTGATGGCTGCAAACTCCTTTTTATCACCAATAGCTATATATTCATACAAAATTTAGGACTTGACAAAAGTGAGTATCTAGAATTTTGGAGAGATTTTTCTACCCTCGTAGGCCAAAATACCTGGGTAAGGAAAATTGAGGGTTTAGCAATAATCTTCTTCTGTCCAAAGAAATGATTCATCTAAAAAATGATTCACCATTGAGATCACCAAATGTTTGGAAGCGATATGAAATCTTGTATACAATGTTTTTGTCAAAGTTATGCTTTATATTTAGGTTAAGGGTACTATGGTACTATGTAGTTTATATATAAGCTAGGGATTAGTTGTGTGATTTAACACAACTCTACACAATAATTTGATCTCTCTCTTCTTATTCGTTCTTCTTCCACTTCTATAATCCCTAAAACTTCATAATCTAACTTAGTACCTGAGCTTGATTCAGATTTGAAGCCCTAAAGTTGTTGAAAATTATCGCAAAATATAACAGCGGCTAACAAAAAATAATGACGTCAGCAACAGACAGTTGATGTCAGCATCGAATTTTGTCAAAATTTTTAGAAACTTGAATGGTAGAATCGACTAGGTTTGCTGAGAATTATGGTGATTTTTCCAAATTTTTTTGAAGCCAGTGTTTTTGAATTTTTGAAGATTTTTGGCTCTATTTGAGATCCGAACTGCAATCTAGCTTTTTAGATGATTTATGCTACTTGTTTTTGGGATCTCACTGTGTGGGGTGCAATTTGGGTTGATCTATATTACCCATGTGTGTTTGTTACATTTGGATTAGTTTTGGGGGCAAATTTGAGTCTCTGTTGGACCTGTATTTGCTTGGTGCCAAGGTGCTTCAGATCTAAGTGCTATCCCAAGGTTGTTTGGCTACTGTTTTAAGGTATTTCTGGATTGTTTCCCAATTCTTAGGTCACAATTTTGTTGTTTTTGCTTTTACCCTATTGCATGGACATGTCGAAAACCAGTGTCACTTTTGGTGCTGCTACCAATACCCACGACAATGGGGTGAGTCGTCTAGGAGTTGTTGCGAATAATCCATCGCTTCAAATTAGTTAAGAAAGGTTGGATGGAAGCAACTATTTAGCCTGGTCACGAGCTTGCTTGTTATTGATTCAAGCTATCTCTCTGGATGTGTATTTGACAGGGGAGACTAAAAAACCTAGTAAGACTGGTTCTACTTTGAAGTAGTGGACATCTAAGAATGCATTGGTTATGTCTTGGTTACTTAACTCCATGCAACCATCCATTAGTTGGGGGTTTTCTATTATTGGATACTGCTCATAAAATCTGGACTGCAATGTCTCATACGTATGCTCAAAGGGGTAATAATGCTAAGACATATGACCATCGAAAGAAAGTTCGGGAGACTAATCAGAAGGATAAACCCTTTACAATTTACTATGAAAAATTGACTACTTTATGGCAGGAGCTTGATTACTACTAAAGTTTCCAGGTAGATTGTGCAAATGATGTAGCCAAATATCAACAGATGGTTGAGGAGAGGGTCTATGATTTTCTTGCTGGCCTTAATATTGAGTATGATTAGATTGGAGTTTAGATTTTAGGTCGCACCCCATTTCCCACCTTACGTGAGGCTTATGCTCATGCTCAACAAGAGAAGAACTGGAGGATTGCTATGGTTCATACTATCACCCAAGAACAATCTGCTTTGGCAATTATTCCTCAGCGTGACCTCAAATTAGCCCTATCTAGATTCATTGACAAGATTGACACTGTTGACAAATAAATATCTTAAAAGTGTGACTATTGTTGAAAGACTAGACACACAAGGGAGTTTTACTAGAAGTTGACTAGATGCCCCACTCGTGGGCGTAGTGGTGGCCACAGTGCTAATCTGCGATCATATGCACACGACTGAGTCTTTAAAAACCCCACCTCAATCTAGTGGCAGCACCTCTGCTAGTTTCACTTGGGATGAGATGCAAACTCTTAGGCGTATAGTGGCTCTGCTTGATACTTCCTCTCCAACAACTTTTAACCAACCTTCTTCTTCCAACTTTGCTCATACGGGTATCTCTGATAGTGCATTTACTACATATCCTCATATACCCCTCGAATCATTAATTCTAGGGTCACAGACCACATGACAAGTTCACTAACCTTTTTTCTTCATTTTTTTATCTATTCTGGTATAGATAAAGTAAGAGTAGCATATGAATCTTCTTCTATTTCTGAAAAAGGTGTAATTAATTGCTCTTCCACTATGTCTTTCTCGTTTGTTCTTCATGTCTCAAATTTTTTTACCAATTTATTATTTGTTAGTAGTATTTGAAACTTTTTGAATTGTTTAGTGCCATTTTTTCTTACTTATTGTATCTTTCAGGAACGGGAATCAGGAAAAATGATTAACAGTGGTAGAGTACAAAGTGATCTATATTTTTTGGATGTTACCAGTGTTATTTAAGCTGTAAAGCGAATCGAAACGAACTGGTCTCCTGAAGGCCTAGGCGAAAAGCGAAGCGAGCGTTTTATTGAAGCAAAACAAACAATATAAAAAATAAGCAAATATTTTAGTTTCATATATTGATTACTCCTAAATATTCAAATTTTAACTTTACAAATATAAAATATTTAAATGCAATCAAAATAATAAACATCAAAATATTTTAAATAGACAAGATATTAAATATTGAACATTATTATATTCTAAAAATAATCAATTGACATAATTACGTCATCTAAATGTAAAGTTAGCAAATGTAGGTTCAACTTCTATCGTAATTGATTAATATTACCGCTAAACAAAGCACTTACAAATTGATTAATCAATTTGATTGATCAAGTAAATTAATTAACAATAGCATTCACATCAAAACAAAGCATTCAACATTATCTAATCATAATAAGACAGATTATCATATGATACTATTATAAAAATTAATCAATTTATTTTATACATCTATAATATAAAATAGAGCGGCTTCAACATCCAACGTTCCCAAATCAACATCCCAAAATCACTTCATCCAACGGTCACAGATCCTCTCATTTTTCCCTAAATTTATCATTTTTCACCCATAAATATTTTCAAAATTTTGATCAACTCAGTCACTTCATCTGTCCTTAGTCAGTTCTTTTTCTTGGTCACTTCACCAGCCGCTTGGACATCGTTTCCTTTTTTTTTTTTTTCCAACCCTTCTATCAGACAAGCCTTCTTCAGAGGCCATCTCATTATCTCTCTCCCTCTGTTTGTTGGTACCACCACCATTGTCGAAGTCAACAACATTACCACCGCCCCAAGCCTTCTTCAGAGGCCATCTCACACTCTCTCTCTCTCTCTTTGTGTCTTTATCTCGCTCCCTCTGTTTATTCTTACCACCACAGCCACCGAATTCAGCAACATAACCACCGTCCCAGGTATGTCTCATCTCTTTCTCTCTCACACACACATACACACCCATCCTACCTCTGCCTCTTCTTTGCCCTTTTTTACACACTCATCATCAACACTCACCCACACACAAATCGCACACACACATAAACAAACCCAGACCCATCACACACACGCCCAAACCCAATTTTGTGCCACCGTCCAAAGCCACCTAGTTTCTGGGTTTGTTTGGATTTGCTCATGGTGGTTTGATTTGGAAGTCGTCCAGAGTGAAAGAACAGTTTCAGGTCCTGTTAAGTTTGGAGAATTAACATAATATTAGAAATAATATTTGAGAGAGAAAAAACAGAGAGAGGTTAAAACATAACATAGCTCTCATACATCACTTGTATTTATAGTTAACCTACAATAATAAAAATTACATATACACCCTCTTTCTATTAACAATTTACATATACTACCCTACTATTCTTAACACTCCCCCTCAAGCTGAACTATATATAACATATAATCCAAGCTTAGAACAAATAGTTGTAAGACGTGTACGGCTCAATATTTTGGTAAACATATCTGCAAGCTGATCTTCAGATTTTACAAATAGAGTTGTAATCTCCCCAGCAACTATCTTGTCCCGAATAAAGTGACAATCAACCTCAATATGCTTGATTCTCGCGTGAAACACAGGATTGATAGCGATATGAATAGCTGTCTGGTTGTCACAGAACAACAATAAAGGAAGTTGAATTGACAACCCAATTTTTTGGAAGAAGTGTAATAGCCAAGTCAACTCACTCGTCGTATGTGTCATTGTCCTATACTCAGCCTCAGCACTGGATCTTGCTACCACAGGTTGATTCTTACTTTTTCACAAGACAACATTACCTCCTAAGAAAGTAAAATAACCAGTGGTTGATATCCGATCAGAAAGAGAGTCAGCCCAATCAGCATCTGAGAAAGCTTCCATTCTAAGATGTCCATTAACTCGATATAACAGTCTAAGTCCAGGAGCTCGTTTGAGATATCGCAGAATACAAATAATTGCCTCCCAATGTGGTACTCTAGGACATCACATGAACTAACTTATTATACTGACTGCATAGGAAATATCCGGTCGAGTAATAGTGAGATAATTAAGCTTTCCAACTAATCTACGATATCGACCCGAATTCTCAAACAATGCACCATCATCCATTAATAATTTTTGATTCGGATCCATAAGAACATCAATCGGTCTACCACCCAGCAAACCTGTTTCCTCAAGCATGTCAAGTACATATTTTCTCTAGGATAAACAAATACCCTGTTTAGATCGAGCCACTTTAATACCCAAGAAATACCTAAGTTTTTCCAAATCCTTAGTATGAAATCGATCCTGTAAGAATATTATTAACTTAGCAATCCCCTCAAAATTATTTTCAGTAATCACAATATCATCTACATAGACCACCAATAGGACATATCCAACATCTGTCTATCTATGAAACACATAATGATCTGTCTGATATCGAAGAAGGCCAAACTCTAAAACTGCATCTGAAAACTTACCAAACCATGCCCTCGGTGACTGCTTCAAACCATACAAAGATTTCTTTAATCGACATACACTCTTACCATACTCCCCCTGAGCAGTAAACCCAAGTGGCTGCTCCATATATACCTCTTCAACCAAGTCACCATGTAGGAAGACATTCTTGACATCTAACTGAAACAAGAGCCAATCAAGATTAGCAGCCAAAGAGATCAAGATACGAAAAGAGAAAATTTTGGCAACAGGAAAAAAAGTCTCCTCATAATCAACACCATAAGTCTGAGTAGCCC